TTTCTTTTTTTGGCCAAATTAATTTTTTTGCAGCAAATCAGCGGCTTGGCTCGTGCTGTGGATATGCTATCACAGAAATGCAAGAAGAGTATTGAATTAATTCGGTACGTCTTATTCCGGTTATCTGTTTGCTTCTTCTTTTTAATCTCTAGATGACGTTTAGCGAAATCTAATTTCCAGATCCCAAAACAAGGGATGCCTGTCTGTATCTGTGGAAGATCTTCTAGCAGCTGCAGCAGAGCCCCCACGCAAAGGAGAGACTTTGAATGAACAACTGGACAGGCTATCTGATGCATTCGATGCTGTTCAAAGGTGCGATTGGTAGATTTTGGCCATTTTTTGATGCAATCTGCACAGTAGCATCACAAAAAGGACATAAACGCAGCATTCAAATGTTCTAGAAGTAGATCTCGTGTCAACCGCGCTTTTTAACCCATTGCAATGTTGTCTTGTGTGCAGTTACACACTATCTTAATAATGAATGTCATACGGCCCGAAAAAAACTTGTACTGAATAAGGCATTAATTTGGAAAAATATCCTTAAATAGAGCGTACATAGAAATATAACTTGGTTAAGCTCTTCATCACAATTGCGTTATAAGGGATAAGGGATAATATGTAAGTAAAGGCCTGAATTTAATTACGCTTTGTAAAGTGTGGGATGCAGTTAATATATATGTGTTGTGCAATTACACACTGGTCGAAGAGTCCCTTGCTCAAGTATATACGCCGTTACCTACAGTTCTAATGAAATTAATTTTGTTTGCGAATTACAAAATGAAGAGACATTTTCTAGACAATAGTAGTTTAAAAGAATAAATTTAATTTTCAGGTATCTGGAGCAGTATTCACTAGAAGACGGGCACAATTCACCTATTCCTGACATTCAAGATGATGCATCTGACATCCACTCAACAGTGACAAGTTCATCATTTTCCACGCGCAGGTGGGCAATTTTCTTTCTTGGATTTATTTTAATCAATACGATCACTCTGTTTTAGCATTCAAAGTCACCAACGCACATCCAGAAGCCCGCTTTCCACGAGTTCGCGAAAAACTGCCACCGCACGAACCAATAACAGCAAATAATATGCAATTTGTCACCCGTCAATCTCTATCTGACACATTCTTTTA